TCCATATCTCAAAACACACTCTAAATTCCTGTGGACTAAAGCTTGCAACACCCCAGCAAAGCCTGGTCACTTGACATGGGTGGGGACTAATAAGTACGCAGCAGGAGGTTGAGGATCTGAACCTGAGGGGTTCAATTTATATAATATAAACTGACATAGATCCACAGCAAACAGAAGGACACAGCCAGTTACATCAGTTGTACATAGATCTCATTACCAACCCTGAGGTTGAACCTTAAAGCCTGCTAAAGGTGTAAAATTCACCTGCTTTGAGCTTCTTTACAGTTAACCAACCAACACAGTCTTGATTTCGAGGATGGAAACTCATGGGATGCTGTGGGATCATCAGTATCAAAGCCAGTGAGGCGGCAAGAAGGACAGAGATTGTCACTGTCCCAGGGTCAGGGATGTATTTTTACTTTCTTGGTGTTGAAGAGTTACTGCCTAAAGTATGCTCAAGTTTCACACCTGGGGGTATACCTGCAGCATGGTCAGAGGTGAGATTGCAGACCGTGCAGAAATACCTGAGCTACGTTCACGTTTGTGCACTTAGATACTGACTGCAGTGGCACAGGATAAGTACATCATGCAAAGCTCTGGGCTGTTAAGCTACCTTGAGAGCTGTGCCCAAACTAGCTTGGTTACACTAGCTCCGATGATTTCTGGAACTTCACAGCATCATGTGGAACATCAAACAAACTATCATTACACACTAGGTATGCCCTGCCCCATCCGTTGTCCTCCACTGCTGTCTATATGCTTCCATATGTATTTAATCAACTTTTAAACTCTTATAATTGGTCTTATGGGCCCTTATGGCTGAGTTTCATAAATTAACTATTGGTTTTTACTTTGATTATCTCTTGCTCCCAACAGCTTTCCTAGTAAACAACCATCCCAGTCTACAAATGTAGAATGAATATTGTTTTTATACTTAATTCCTTCTTTTAGATTTTTGTTTTTTAATTTTATGCTGATATCTTCTGTTTTATATGATATGGAAGAGCTATTTGTTTTCTTTCTCCTTAATAATCTCACAAATTTCAAACCATTTTATTTACCTTCTCTTTTAACTAAACATCTTTAGTGTTTTCAGTTTTTAGTAGGAAGTTAATGATTGTATATCTTATCTGTATATTGAGTCTATTTTTGTCATAGCCTTTTTTTTTTTTAAGCCAGAACTGAACATAACATTCCAGCTGAAGGTGTAGCAACAGGATAAAGGATAGTAGTATTTTATTTTGTGTACCATTTTTCAAGCCATCATTTGCACCTCTTAATTTTATGCTCTAATTGTGCATTAAGGTAGATGTCTTAATTGTTTCAAAATTATAACATTTTAATGCAAATCTCCTGTTGCATGGAAAACTGAGTATTTCTGAGTCTGAGGAAGATCAAATTTCCCTGCTGTGTACTCAGTAAAGACTGGGAGCTGCAGCAAACCTAAAATCTCACTCGTAATATCTGAGATGGACCTAGTTAATTCACCATGTGGGCAGAACGCATTATTTGCAGTCACCACACCTTTCCTGACTCTGTTTTTTCTGGACTTTTTAAAAGATATTTTTTTAATCAACACCAGAACTAGAAGCAGAACGATCACTTTACTGCTGTGATCTTCAGCTTGCATCTCTGTGTGGCCCTGTCATGTGGAAATTCTGCTGCATGCTTGAGGATCCCCACCACGTGCTCCATGATTGTGCTGAGGGAAGCAAGTTTGAAGAATTTGTTTGAACTGGCTAATAAAAGTGCAGATGATGATAAAAGAACAAACAAAGAAACCCTCCTGCATCTACAAGCTCAATTCCCTGCTGTTGCCCAGGCTTGGCTGCTCTTGCCGGCCAGCCTGCTGAGGTTTGGACAGAGTCCCATGCTAGTCCTACCCTGTAAAGGTGAGTTACTACCCTGGCAGCATGTTGTTGATTAGCACCTTCTAGGTCAGCACATGTCAAGAAAACAACTAAAGAGCCCTTCTCCATTTCACTGCATGTAGCTCTAGGTTTGGCATGCATGTGATCACATCAGTGCAGTTGAGATTAGAGATCTACAGAGTCTTGGAAATTTACCTCTTGCTGCAATGACAGCATATCTGTGTCCATAGAATATTATGAATTATATTCTGGTAAATATAAGGGGACACACAGATGTGTGGAAAGTCCACAAGGAATATCTTCCAAACCTCAGTGCCCTGGCACCCACAGAGCTGTGTGAATAGAATGGTAAACTGGCACAGTTACAAAAGTGGGTCAACTAACCTATTAGGTATTCCAGGTGAGGTAGTAAGAAGCAAATAAGCTCTCTACATTGCCTACACTACAAATAGGTAAATGTCATGTACTGGCATTTATTCCCAACTACCCTGCTAAAGGAATGTGCTCCAAAATGGCTTGTGTTGTAGTGCTGTAGTAGTCAAGTGCTTTTGGTGGAGGAAAATAAGTCAATAACCCCAAAAAGGTCCAGTATTAATGGAGCTAATGTTTCCCTCCCCTACCTAATGCAGTAACTACTATTCTCTAGGGTAAAGTTTAAGAAAGAATCAGCCAAGCCCTTGTATAGTTGTGGTTTGGCTTCCTGCCCCCTCTGCTCATCAAGCAGGAAGTTCTCAAAGGAGAGTGCTTTGTGAAGCTACCTTAAGACTCTGCCTCTTTTTTTTCAGTCAGAACTTAGCATCAGGTCATCTGGAACTCCTGGAAGCTGACCAGTCAGACTGATGGCGCCTACGGAAGATATTTAAACAAATTCTCTACCTTGATCATTCTCCCTCGTCTTTTGTCCTGTACATCCTTGATTGTTCTTATTCAGTCCTGAGATAATATGCTCCTGATATCACTGAGATGGGAGAGACAAGCAGGGAGTAAGAGATCAAAGAGAGGAGAAGGAAGAGAAGGTGCCAAAGGCAAAAGAAGAGGGAAGAAGCAAAATATTTCTGAGATTTATCTACTTTACATACTTGGGATGCAACGTTTCAGAAATTCTGAATATACTTCATTTTTAGAGTTCTGGTGTTATCACAGCCACTAGACAATAGGAGACTGTCAAGAGAAGCCATGGGCACCCTCTTTCCACTAGCTTTCAAGATACATCCAGGAAGCCCAAGGAGGTCCTTGGCACCTATAAGTGCGGGTAGACTTGAAAAGAAACTGCACAGAGCAGTTATAAACAGGTATAGTTACAAAATATCTTTCTGCTTCCCTCTGCTGGCCAGATAAAACACATACCAATGTAAGTCCGACCGGTCAGGGAAGGATCAGGGTGAAGAATATTGAAAGATAGGAAGAGTCATATTTTTCTATTACTACACAACCTTTAACTCTGCTGATTTATTTGAATTTGCTCTTGAATTTCAGAATATGTGCAGGATATTTTCGTGTCCAGGGAAGCTCAAGAAGGCTGGAAAAGGGACCATGGATAAAGCTAGGCTGGTGAAAGATAGGGAGATGGTATGGACAATGATAATTTCAAGGTTTAAACTACTAACATTGCTTTACCATTTACCTCATACTGTTAGCAGTTGTGATTTCAAAGCTAATTTAACAACCACAATCTAAACTTAGTTTCTATTCTTGATTACAAAACAGGACCATTATGAGTTGCAAAAAAAAATCATGAAAACGACATGAAACGCTGTTCTTATTTGCCTCGTATACTGAAGTAACTTTGATTGAGAATTAAATCCTTTTTTTTTTTTCCTGAGTTTGAGATTATGTTCCCATGTTGCTTATAAGGACTGGAGGAAATTTGGAAACCTAAAATGAACAGCCAGTAGTAACAAAACTGAAAATGGAGATACAGAAAACATGTAATTGCAATGCCAGCTTTCATTTCAAATAGGATGCATAAGTAAAAGGCACATCTAACACTGATGCTGTATGCAAGTAAAAAAATCAGCATTTTTGCATTTAATTTTCCTATTTTATTTAAAAGCAAAGGGGGGGGGGGGGGGGAAGCTCTTTGAAGCACTAATGTTGATAATGGTGATTCAGTGCTGTTTTTGCAGATTGCTGTGCACCTTAACAATGCACTTCACAGCACTGATTTTCTCTAAACTGCACATCTGAAGGCCTGGGATCAAAGGCCCTGTCTCAGCAGAGGTGTGGTGACTGTCCTGAGGTAGGGAGGTGGCAGCCAGCCCCGGTTCTGGTCTCCTACAGGCATCACAAAAACATGGACACCTCGACTGATCAGGATGAGGTATAGAGCTGCACTGGCAATAATGCTGCAATACGGAATTCAAATTCACTGTAGCTCGGTGAGAAGGGAGGGATGCTGCTGGGCAGAGGTAGTGAGTACCCTGTGACAGTCATTGCTGGAGAGAGGGCTGTGTAAGGGACGAAGAATTGCTTAGTGCCGCCAGATAGCCTGCAGCGAGCTTCCCACTGCCTCACACAAAACACAGCCACGACACGCAGCCACCGGGAAGCCGGGAGTGGTAGCGCTCCCCATCCCCCTGTGCTGGTCTGAATGTTTCCAAGGACTTCAGTTTTGCCCCTCATGCACACACCCAACTGACAGTGATATAAATTTCTCCGGGCGTCACTTCGTAATGACTGCCTTCATTAATAAATATTTGCTGTGCTTTGAAAGAAAATCACTCGCGTCGTTGGGATTTCCCTTCTCCAGCTGTGAACGATTCACTGCGCGGTATCGGGCGGGACCTTACGATCTGAAGCACCACGGCCGCGAGATTCGCGCACCCAACACAACGAACTTTAACGGGACCACCATTTCGCTTGCTGAAGCAAACGAACCCGAACCGCCAAGGCCACACCATCATAGGCGCCTCCCGGCACGGGGCACGGTGTACACCCGGTCCCGCAATTCCCACCTTGCCATGCGGCGCACTAAGGGAGCAATACCCACGATTACCGCGACAGCGGCCGGCCCTCATCTGCTCCAATCATCAGGCCTGTTTCTCTCAAAATCCGGTAGATCTCCAATCACAGGCAAGCTCTCAAAGCAGCCCTGCGCACTGCTGGGCGTGCGCAGCTGGTTAAGGTGGCTTGAAGCGGGCGACTCGCGCATGCGCGTTAAGGTGACTCTAGAAGCCGAGTGCGCGGGCGAGGCGGTCTTCATCTGGGGCGGGAGTGCTCTCTGCTGCTTTCAGGACCGGGCTCTAGGAATGTCCTGGCTGTAAGTAAGGCGCTGCTGCTGTTAGAGGTTCTCCTTGGGCCGAGGGCTTCACTCCGCCTCAGGTGAGCAGGGCCAGGCGGCGACAGGAGCTGCGGGCCGCCGGGTGAGTGCGGCGCGGGGCTGAGGCTGCGCGGGGCGGGCCGTGAATCATAGCGGTCTAGGTGCGGGCCTGAGCTGCGCGCTGAGGCCATAGGTCGGACTGAGGAACGCTCGGCAGCCCCGCTGTGGGCAGCCCCGGTTGAGCCCTCACCTGTTTGTCGGACTGCGCCCTGCTGCAGCGTGTGGCCCTTTGTGCGAAGGGGTCTTTTCATCACGTCTGTCCCTTAGGACCATGGATGCTTCCTGAGGCCTTTAGCGGAAGCAGCCGCCGTGGTGCGGGACCGGGGACCGGTTTGTGCGTGTGGTGCTGTGCGGTGAGTCTAGTCCCGGCAGTCCCGTCTGGAGCCGCGCGACGCGGTGATGCCCCCCGGCGGCGCCAAGAGCTGCCCAGCGCGTGGGGTTGCGAGGTCGACGTCGTGCGGCGTCCTGAGCTAATGAAGGAAGTCTGTAGGCAGGAAAGGGGAGAAAGCAGGGCTTGGATCCTTTGAGACTTCGGGTACGATCGTTCCAAATGGCACAGCTTGTTAAACGTCCCCCTTTGTGGCCAGGCCGGTTTGCGAGCTGTGGGAAGAGTGAGTTCCTGTGCTTGAGGCTCTTTGAGAAGGCATAGAAATTCTACTTTCTCTGCTGATAGGTGCGACTGTTGGTTTGATTCTGGGGATTTTTATATGGACTATCTATCACAGGGTTTCATTGCAGCTTTTTGACCATTGAGTTCACTTAACTGATTCTTTTTTTTTCTCCTTTCTTCTACATTGTTCTTAGTGTCATCTTGGAGGAATATGATGTTGCTGCTCCAGTAACTTGCTAGAAATATTGGCTTATCTATGCCTCTGCTTGTGGCGCCTATCCTTTCTCAGCATAACCCAGCAGAGGAAGAAAAGCAGACAAGCTGCAGAGAATTTCAAGCAAGCAAAGCAGGATGGATGGGAAGAAGTGGTACCAAGTCAAGAATGACCTGACTTCAGCAGAGCTCAAGCCTCTTTAAAGAGTTCTGTCATCCAGAAGGCTGAAAAACACTTAAACAAAAATGGAAGGAGGCAACAGTCCACACGTGCAACTTCAGCAAATCCCAGTGGCCACAGCAGCAGTTTCTGTGCAGCCACACGCAGACTCCTTTTCTTATAAGGTCAGGTCTTTACTCCAGTCTACTCTTAGGATGCCATAACTTCTGTGTATAAAAAAAAAATTTCATTTAGAACTCAGTTTCGGGTATGTTGTAAAAGTTGTCCAGACTAACATGAACTTTTTCTACGTTTGCAAGTTTTTATGCAAGCTTTACTGTCTGCTGTGGGGAGGTATCTCAGGCGTTTTTGAATGTAGCTAAATTGCCCGCTGAACCAGCAGATGTTATAGGTGAGGTGGAGAAGAGCAGAATAGTTCTTGAAAGCTGATTCACGGAATGCAAATATTTCTGATCCATGTGCTGCTTAATGCCAAGTCATTATGAAAACATATTTAAAGGAAAGAATGAATGGACAGGTTGCATTTAGCAGTCTGTTCTTTCCTGCTGAGAAATATTCCTGCACTTATTAATTTAGCTCTCTCATAAAGTGTCAATTAATAATGGATTATCTTTTGCCTGAGTTTCACAGATTTGGAATTTAGCTACAGAAAAGTTACGTGAATTTTCCTCTGTCCCATGGAGAAGATAAAAACAGATTTTATTGACTAGTATTTGAGGGAACCGTTTTAATTCTGCTGTCTTCCACATTGCGCATAAGACCCCAACTTCCTTCAAGGTCCAGTAGGTAAATGTAATATCTGTATATTTATTTTGTTTCTACAGGAGAACTTGATTGGTGCATTACTAGCTATTTTTGGGCACCTTGTTATCAGTATTGCACTCAACCTCCAGGTGAGTATCATGAAACAAATATTGATCCTGCCTCAAACATCTTGTGTTAAAAAGTGTCATGCATGCCACAGCTTCTGTGCCTTTATCCTCTTTTCTAGAAATACAGCCATATCCGGTTGGCAGGTTCCAAAGATCCCCGAGCCTATTTCAAAACCAAGACATGGTGGTGTGGACTTTTTCTGCTGGTTCTGGGAGAACTGGGGGTGTTTTCTTCTTATGCCTTTGCTCCTCTTTCACTGATTGTGCCTCTCAGTGCAGTGTCTGTTATAGGTAAGAGGAAAGAGATGACTGACATGCAAGTCTGAATGCGTTTTAGTGTGAGGCAACTGGTCACCAGACCAATACATAGATCATCCTGTTTCTCTTTTTTTCCTTCCTGTTGTTATAGCTAGTGCAATCATAGGAATTATATTTATTAAAGAAAAATGGAAGCCCAAGGAATTTTTGAGTAAGTAGTGCAGTTTCTTTTCATTTTTTTCCTCCATTCACAAGCTGACCTATGCACAGCATGACCTCTTAAGAGTCAGAGATGGTGAGCCTGGGTCCCTGGCACTGCAGTAGCTTAGGCAGAACTGAATCAGCCACATTTCATGCATACATATGTTTGCAGAGCTGGAACGCTCATTCTTCCACTTTCTGGAAAATAGGCTGTAGGCAGTGCAAGGCATGATAAGCCCCAGACGCAGATCTTGTGACTCCAGTTATTTTAGCAGATGCTACTTGGTATGAGTTTTTTTTTCCTCAAATCATGGCATGCTTGTTGCCTGAGGTTTCTTAATTATAATAATTTGGAAGTAGGGCATGAAGGGCAGAGGAATGAGTCACTTAGAGGACTGTGCATGGTGTCATGGCCACATGCATGTGAGATTGTAATCCCATACATCCATACTAACCCGCTAACTGTTTACTTTTTTCCTTTTTTTTTTTTTTTGTCCTTTGGTTGCCGAAGGGCGATATGTTTTGTCCTTTGTAGGCTGTGGTTTGGCAATTGTTGGAACTTACCTGCTGATTACATTTGGACCTAATAGTCATGAGAAGATGACAGGGGAAAATATCACTAGGCATTTAGTGAGCTGGCCGTTTCTGTTGTATGTGGTAAGATAGCCCATAAAATATGGGACTGTTTTCTGCCATATTCCTGGTTGAGAGGTTTTCAAGCATTATTTTTCGTTATGAGTACTAGAGGTATTTCTTTGTACTTGCTAATGGACTTGTGTCACTTTTGCCAGTGTCAATTTCACAGTGCACGTGCAACTTGTAACCCTACTGTTCTCTCTCTGAGTTATTCTGTTAGAATTTAAGTATCTTTAACTGAAAAGTTTTAAAATAGCTTGCTCTCTCCCTGACCTATCAGCTTCAGCCTGTGGAAGTAGTATTGATAGCAGCTGAGAGCAACTGTCCAAGAGCTGCCCAAATATTGTACTTGATCTGCACTTTTCCTAGACAGACTTTTTTCTTGAGCCATTAAAAATATTGTAAAATCTGTTTAACAGAGATAAGCTTGGCTATTAAATTAGATATGTGCTGCAGGGATCATTTACAAAACTTCATTATGAAAAACAGACTGAGATTTGTGAGGTCAGTATTCAATTGGGATTAAACTTGGTCTGTAATTGCGTAGTATCCTCATTTTCCTTTGATTTGTCCTGTTTTGTGATTCTAATATCTGACTCGTTCAGTATTCCATTTACTGCCAATGCCATAAACTCCACATCTAATGGTCTCTCTTTTGTAGCTTGTAGAGATCATCATATTCTGCCTGCTACTATATTTTTACAAGGAGAAAAATGCAAACTACATTGTAATAATTCTCCTGTTGGTAGCTTTGTTGGGTAAGTTGATACAGATTGTTTTGAAAACTTCCTTAGTCTTATTAGTCATGTCATTGTGTCATTAGAAATGAAAACTTTTATCCTTCCATAATAAGATTGCATAATAATGTTTAAACACTTTAGACAAATGGTAGATTCTCCCAGCCCTGTTGATAAGAAAGACTGCAATATAGGAAGGTTGTGATTTACTGAAGGTCACAGTGGTAAGGTTGTTGGGACGTTTAGAGGTAAAATACCTTCCATGCTAGAGAAGGGTTTGAATATTTACGTATCTTGACTTTGTTTGCAGCTGCTTGTCACATATAGAGTGAATGTGCGGTGTTCTTGTCCTGCTGAGCAAGACATAGTTCAGCTGTATTTTCATAAACATTTGCAGGTTCCATGACTGTTGTGACAGTGAAGGCTGTGGCAGGCATGATTGTTGTCTCAATACGAGGAAACCTCCAACTCAACTACCCGATATTTTATATCATGTTGGTGTGCATGATTGCTACAGCAGTCTTTCAAGCAACGTAAGACAATCTCTCTCTTCCATAACTGTACTGGTTTTGGCAGATCTCTAACCAGTGAGATGTTTGTTATTGATTTCCAGAATGCTGATCAAATTTTAGTGTGAAGGTCTGGCCTCTTCTGTCACCTGTCTTCAAATCTGTGTCACAGGGGCCTAAGATAACGTTCTTTGCTTTTCCATGTAGTGACATTGCTAAGTAGTATTGATCTCAAATTTATACATCATTTAAGTATTTGCAAAACAGTGGTATGAATGAAATGGTGGCCAATGAAATACAGTATATTTGCACTGACCGAAATCAAAGTGTTTTTCCCCTTTGTTCTTGTGATAATGTAAAAACACAAGTAGCAGCAAGGATAAGGAGCTGTTCAAAATGCAAGTGATGTCCTGACCCCAGTGTCAGTGGTTGTAATTGCAGTGCCTTTAGTTAATTCAGCAGAATGTTTGTTCATCTGTCATTTCTATTAATTCCAGGGGATGCCTATGCAGGTGTACTGAGAAAGAGCAAAGTTTCTTAAATGTATTCCCCAGGTACTTGAAAGGTACCTCCAGAAAGGAGAAGTGTGCTGGTGGATGTTAACTACTCTGCGGTTTGAGTATTCTTTCCAGGTTAACTTCTGTCATCTGTCACTGTGTTACAGATTTTTAGCTCAAGCTTCACAGCTCTATGACTCATCTCAGATTGCGAGCATTGGCTACATCTTGTCGACAACAGTAGCTATCACAGCAGGTAACAGCGCTCAAAACAGCGTGTTGATCCTTTCTGAAAGAGGGGCAAAAGATTTTTGGAAAATAATTCTTAGCTACAGCTGAGGAACGTGAATACCCAGCGAGACAATGACTTGTATTTCCTTGTCATCTCTCTTCTGGAGCTGGTTTGCTTTCCATTTTTTTCTCTCAAAATATGAATTCATTTTATTTATTTTCTTCCTCTGGTCAAACCTGTTATGAGTCTCTTCTTGATGGTTTTGTTTGCGTTGTATGTAGGATGCGACTGCTTTCAACTTTGTAGGTTCTTTTCATTCTGTACAGAGGACTCCAATCTTAGACCTTAGCTGCACAGAGGAAGTTTTGACTATGAACAAAGATGAGCATTTTAAACCCACTTAGGCTTCAAACCTGAGGAAGCGCTTTGAAGATTTTTCTTAGATATATGAGCAAAACTGGGAAGGAAAAAAAAAAGACACTAGAGAAAGTATTCATCACAATGAAGCGGATACACTGTCTATGTAAATAGTAATTTCCTTCTGGATATATAAGGGGGGAAAAAAGTCCCCTGCCCCCTTAAAATTACATATTGCCTTTTAGTTCTGTTCAACACCATGAAAGATCATGGCCTACTGTTTATCTAATGTTGTTCTGTGTCATGTTCCAAATCATGTGCTGCTCTCAGATTAATCAATTTATTTACTTCTTTTAGAAATGTAGAGTTGGAGTCAGAGTGTGTATGTCAGGCTTTTTATCCTGTAGATATCTAAGGCAACAGTGACATCTGTCATCTTACGTTTTTAAGCTGTGTATGCTTAATTGGAGTCAAGGGTTTTTATCCTGTTATAGCTAGAGAGGTCCAGTTTGGTCTGTTGTTCAGACTTGGGAAATGTGGTCTCTTGTGTTTATATGGTAATAACTATCTGGTGAGAATTCAGCTTAGGCTGATTCGCATAGTGACCTGCAACAGTTCTAACACTATTTCCTTCCCTACCCCAATATTGAAAACTTTGTACTAGTTGCTGTGCTGCTGTACAGGTTTACTTGCGGCCATAGTAATTGCACTGTTAATTTGGTGGTCAAATTCTAAAAAGTTTGTAAATGTGCAGTTTCTGTTGCAGTGGAAATCAGACCATGCTTTTCTGTATTAAGACCATTTAAAAAAAAAAAAAAGCCAACTAAACATGCTAACTATAGAAATAGTGATCTTACTTGACTTAGTTTCTGGAGAGACCAGTGCTAGAGATGCAGCAGTAATTGCTCATGTCAGCTGGGAAGAAAGCCATCATGAATTATTTCCTTTTCAAGGAGCAACTTTCTACCTGGATTTCACTGGTGAAGATGTTCTTCATATATGTATGTTTGCACTTGGGTAAGTGTTTTAAGTTTCCTTAATAGAAAACTGAGTAGTTTTTCTTCATGTGGCTAAACTTTAAAAATCTGTACAGAAGTACGTGTGTCTATGTATGTATACGAGAGATGTGTAACCTGCTGTGAAGGAGGACAAACTGACTACGCTCTTTCTGTTAGAGCACACATTGGCCCATAGTTCCATACCTTATCTGAGTGATGATGGATGCTCTAGAGGAATTTTGTCACAGTAGGTTATGTATAATTGTACAACTTTTACGCTTCACAGTAATGTCTTGCTTACAGTACTGGGGATCCTATTGGTTGAATCACATGGATTGTTTTTCCAAGTGTATTCACACCTTTTAAGGTGAAGTGGAATGCTCTGAGACTATCTACTCACCAATCTGGAACTGTAAAATAACCAGAAGCAGTGATCTCTTGGACACCTATTTGAGCCTTCACTGTCTTATTATGGGACTTCAGAAATCCTGTTTCTTAGCGGCATGGCCATTCACACAGTGCAGATATAATCAGTAAAACATTCACTTTGTAACTCAGTGTTTAGTCCTACCTATGCTGTTTGATGTGATTAACTCTCCATAAGTAGGGGGCAACCTGAAATGCCTTTCAATTTAATATGTGAAAACAAACAAACAACAGTTGGGAGTTTAGTATTATTAACTGTCTTCCTCTGTCAACATGCTGTAAAAATGAAGATTGACAACTGTCAGTGTGTTTATCCATGGAAAACCTTGCATAGTTTAGGCTGTAAAATCCTGGAATGTCATCAAAGCAGATAAAATTTTTATATGCTTTCTTTCTGCTCTTAGTCAAGATTAATGTGAAAATTTCTCTCTGCATTTTGGTAAAGGTGTGAAGTTGCGATTGCTAGTTACATTTCAGTCCTGTCAAAAAGGGTTACTCAGCTGAGAATTCTTTCTCATTCTGTAGATCATTCTCTTCTAGTTCTGAATTCTTTACTGTGCTAGCTATAGATTTTTCTGAGGGCCTGTTATGAAGCATTGTTTCCTTTCCATTTTCACGGTCATCTCAAAAGATCTTCTATTTTTTCTCAGATGCCTCATAGCGTTTCTAGGTGTCTTCCTGATCACAAGAAATAGAAAGAAATCTGTACCGTTTGAACCCTATATATCAATGGATGCTATGCCAGGTAACAATGGCTTATTGCCCTATTTCTTTTATTTCTTGAGTTCTCACTCAAACTTGAGTCTCTCTTAAGTTGTTCTTTGTTTTTCTATTCTCTTTGATTGTCTCGTGGAGGGGTACATCCATGTTTTTTATGAAGCAGAAAAGACATCATGTTCCACTTTGACACTTACTCTGGGTCCTTTGACTCCAGGGAGAGTATGGCAACAGTCCCATTGGCTACAGTCTGGGAACATTACAGGTTTTGAGCATTTACTTGGGATTGGTCTTCATCAAGTAGGAAGAATTGATTATGGAAGATTGAGGTACACGGCAAAAGATAGAAGCCAGAAGGAGCAGAAACTTATTTTGTGAAGTATAGCGAAACTGTCTTTCTGATGATATGTACAAAAGACATGTAGCATTTGATAAATACATGATTGCAATCCTGCATTCAGTACAGCATAATTTCCTCCATTAGTTGCTTTACTGCTTAGCTGAAAAGCATTCTTTCATTTAACACTCAAGGATCTGATGAGCCACATGCCAGTAACCCAGAGTCTGTATAATTTGGTGATTTAATAGAGTGCAGGAAGAATGTGCTTTTGTTCCTAAACATCTAATCTCTGCTTTTGCTATTTTCAGGCATGCAAAACATGCATGACAAAGGGATTGCAGTTCAGCCTGACCTCAAAGCTTCTTTTTCCTATGGTGCCCTAGAGAACAATGACAACACGCCAGAAATTTATACACCAGCTACACTGCCCATAGTGCAGGAGCAGCATGGTTCCAGAGGAGTTTCTGCTCCACCATACCGCGTGCTGGAGCACAGCAAAAAGGAGTGAATGACCTTTAAGGAACTGATTTTGACTCATCAGAAGTATGCCCTTTATTTATTTACCTGATTAACATATAGGCAAGTGTTAAGCCAACTTTGATACAGTTTGAAGTTTGTCTCAAACTTAACTTTTAATTTTTTTTTTAAATAAGCAACTCTGTAGTTGTGAAGTTGAAAGCATTCCTCTTAGCAAGAAGTAAATTACAGTCCTCTGTTGAAGGCTGCTGTCTGAGAGCATGAAATACTGAATACAGTATCATGGCTTTAGGAAACTAACGAAAAAGCAGCTGCTGTGAGAATGCAGAGCTCTGGGAAGAGAAGTAACCATGTAATTTTTAGCCCTGCTGGGAGTGGTTTTATTTTCAAATAGAGGTTTTCAGGAGTTGTTCACAGTGAGAGGAGGAAAGGATTTAATCTTCTACGTAGAGAGACAGATGGATTTTTAGAAAAGTTGTAAACCCTCATGTTTCTAATGTAACCATCATGCTACCTTAGCATGGCAATAAAATCTAACTGTTTTCACGAACGAACACTGAAACTTACTAAGTATTCTTGTGCTTTTCTTGTATAGCCATTCTCTAGCTTGTGTTGAATGTATGCACTGAGCATATTAATTCTTCATCTAGCACCATTGGATTATATGGCAGTTTAGAATAAGGACTGTTTGCTATTTCTCTGGTTTCACAGAAAGAGCTACAAGTTGCATCAAAGGGTACAGGGACAGCTCTGTAGTAATGTGACCGGAAAGGATATTTTAGTCGGTCTTGATGAGATTCCAATTCTTTACCATTTTTATTTTCTCTCTGTAGTTGAGATAGGGTTTCCAACTTTGTTTAGTAGTTTTAAATGCTTAAAGATGTCAACGTTCCTTTGGCAGTGTTACAGTGTTGTAGGCAGGGGTGCCATTTTGTGCTCCTTTATTCTAAGAAGCAAAAAAGGTACTGTCCTAATACTGTGAATGACCTGGTAGGAAAAATGAGCACACACAGTCCAGCACTCAGTGAGAACTGCCAGAATAATGAAGCATTGTGTACTTATGATATTTATCTTTCCAGCTCTTCCAAGAGATGGCTGTAAGCAGTTACAAAGGGGACAAAGTACAACATTTACAAGAGTATGCAGTTGTTTTTGGTGTTTTGATATCATCTTCTCTAAAAGCAATCATTTTACTGGGAAACAAAATTTTAAGTCTACTTTGTTGTATCTTGGGCTGTATGCATAGTAGAGTGTCTCCATGACCTTAGAAGACTTAATTTGAAATGAATAGTGAATGTGTTCTGTGCATTTTTAAGTGGTAGCTCTGATACTAAGGGGTTTGGAAGGATCTTGAACTTAAAGCTGTGGCTTCCTGCATTTTTTCCTTTTTTTTTTTTTTTGACTCATGGCCAGATTCTTTTTCCACTACTTGAGAGCTTAACTGACTTATAATTCCTCCTGCTTCATGTTATTACAGATGACAACAGAACTATTCTTTTGCATATGTTTTTCTTGTCAGCTACGAATACTAATTTAATCTGGAAATACATGAGACTGCATTGACAGTTTTGTGCAACTTAAATAAAAATAAACCCCTACCCTTGTGAAGAGAAGATGCCTAGATGCTGTGCACGTGCCTATATGTGAAGTTGCTTCTTCAGCTTGGTATATCTGACAATTGAAACTAGTGGCGTTGCATACACTGCAGCTTAGGAAACCTCTCAAGAAATACCAATTTTTCTTTTGTCCGCAATACTACTTATGCTTGAGTAAGATAACAATGTTAATGGGCTAATTTACCAGTACATTAATCTTGATGGAGTTGATGCTGGTTCTACTGCCTGTGTCCCTGTTAATCGATTGTTTGTGAAGTTATGTGTAGCTTTTGTTCCTTGTAATACAGAACAAAGTAGTACAATGGGGGCTGGCTGGGAAGGGTATGAGTACGCTGGCTTCTCTCTTTCCTTGTAATGAATGAGGCAGTGGGTAATTGACCTAATAGTTCTGAAGGCACAGAAACAAGCTATTTTAAGACCAACTGTGCTAAACCTACAAACTCCACATTTTACATGGCAATATTCCTTAATTATTACAGAGATTGTATAAAATACATAAGTAAAATATTAATCAAAAGGATCTGAAAAGGGCTTGCTATTGAATTCTATTCATAGGGTGATCCTGTGTAGTTGAGCATTGTTTTCCCAGTTCTTAGTTTCTTAGTAGTATTTAAAAACTGCAACTGATGGATGTGCAGACTTCGCAGCCGCTTGTTTTTTTCTGGTTAGCTTTTTCTCCTAAATTGTAAGGCTGTTTTTATTCCTAACACCTTGTTTTTAGAAGCTTTCTGGCAGGGGATTCCCAGGTAGGTAATTCCTATTGAGTAATGTGAAATACTGCTAATTGTGTGTCTGTTTCTAGAGCACACAAATCAGTAGAGCCTGAGAAGTTTTTGGTGTTATAGGGTTGAACTCGGTGCACTGATGTTGTGAGAGCTGCACTCTTGCCAGTCTGTTAGACACAGTAAGCATGATAAGACTGCCAGACTGATCCTCACCCCTTCGTGGTGCCTATGTTCAATACTTGAATTTTAACTTTTTTTAATGTACTTTTTCCTTTCTTGTTCTTTCTCACAAGCTTTCAGAAGATTGTACATGTTGCTCTGCACTACGTGTTTACAGATGCTGTCTCTGTTCCTAAGAAGGCACAAGTAAACTGAGTGTAGGACTTATGCAGTCTTTCTAACAGAAGGAGGGTATAGCTCAGGATTACAATTACCTCCTTACCTTTTCTCTAATTCAGAGCTTGGTAACTGAAAATGGGAAGTTCTCTGTACCTCAGACTTGTTACAGAATATTTCTAGGGCTGAGGTGACAGTGGCCATGCCTGGGAGTGCAGCAGGCATTTACAACTAAACTGCCACAAAAAATTTAAAGGAGAGCTGCATGCCACATGCTCATCTTTTTTGCAGCATGGAAAGTAACCTGTTCCTGTAAAGCACATTATTTAACACATGAAATGTCAAAGCTTCAGTTTATCCACAGAGAAGTAGTGTACTGTAAACAGTGGAGCATAACTAGATTTCCAAATGTGCAGCATTTTGTTCAGAATCAAACACTGAAAAAGCGTGCATGTAATCCAACTGACTGCTGTCTCCATTATGAATTGGGCAGAATAGGTCCTTGACTCTCTCCTAGCTTCTTTATCAAATGTGAAATGACTTTTGTGGCCTTTACACTGTGTGGCTTCTCAGTGCACTGGTGCACTTAATATGTTCTCACTGTGTATCTTGCATATAGCTTTATGCTGTGGCATACAGCTGCAGTGTTGTCTGAATGTATAAAATGTTCATATGGAAATGTGTATAAATGTGGCTTTGCAGTGTTGAATCCTAAGGATGACTGCTTCATTTTTTTTGTAAGCAGTGTTGCGTGTCTGTTTAATTCTGTCTTTGATGACACCTCTGGAAATTTAACTTAATAAAAGATTCTGGTAAAAATATTCTTGCTATAGCTTTAATCAGCTTTAGTCAGTAAAAATCTTGAAGGAATTTAAGACGGTAGTTGTTTACAACCACAAGTACTATGTACATAAAAAAAAAAAAATGGTATTAGTTGTACATTTGTGAATGCAATGCAGATTGCTGCGGCGCTGCCCCTCGCTCGGCCTCGACAGGGCGGGGATGGCACATGCGCAGCGTCGCCCCCTCCATCCCGGTCACCACCCTCTCCTCCTCCCCGGCTCCCCGAGGCGATGCGGGATGAGGGACAGCGCACGCAGGCGCGCTTGCGCCGCTCCCCGCCCGCAGGGATCGCTCCGCACGGCCCCCCTCTAGGCGGCTCGTCTCGCTGCTGAGGGGACCCTCGCTGAGCCGTCTCTGCTCCCCTGCCGCCATCTCTGGTTCCGTCCCCCTCGGGCGTCGAATGTCTATCCTGAGGTGAGCGCAGTGTAGCGGGAGGGCACAGCCAGGCGGAGTGGAGCGGCTCCTTAGCGCTGCGCGCCCCGTCTTCACACGGTTGTGTGTGAGAGAGCCTGGAACCCGCGGCGCTGCCTCCTCCCGTCGCCATCGCCCCTCGCGATCTGGAAGCTGAAGGGCGGTGCGCCCTGAGCTGCGTGGGGCGGCCCAGCTCCGCGGCTCTCAGGTGGGTCTGTGGGCGGTGGGGCGGTGCCGGGACAGGGGCTGCCTTCAGAGCGCTGCACGGACGAGTGAGCGCAGCGCTGCGCTTCCGGTGCGGGGGTGGCTGGACGGAGCGTTCAGCTGCCTTCCCGCTCGGGTTGGCCCTTCTGGCCTTGTGGCTTTCTGCCTCGTCCGTTAACGCCTCTCACGGTACTGTTTCTGTTAGTACTTAACAAACAGTGGTACGTTGGTGTTACACATCCCATCCCAGGGAACCTCTTCTATGTTCTGATAGCGCTCAATTACCATTGTGTAACCCCTGGGATGGAGTTGGACAAAACTGGTGTTAAGCTTGTGGGTTTATAGTTAAAAACGAGAGTGGCGGCGTATTCCTATGTGGAATGTGTTTGTAAAATGGAAGCAACGCTTTTCATAGTTCAGAGCCCTCTATGGAAACTTCTCAGGTTTGTTTTCCTGCTTGCAATAAATGCTGTGTTGCAAAACATGCAGAACCGTTCACTTGTTGCTGAGATGTTTGTTTAACTTGTATAGAGTTTTCCCTACAAGCTGTGTGCAGGAGATGAAGGGCATAACTGCTTTCTCTCCATTGAGTCAACAGCGAGTGAGATTCTATCCTTGTTATCAAAAGGAACACGATGACTTCTCCAGTAAAATTCAAGCATTTGTTACTTATTGAAAGAAATGGTGGCCTCCCTTGCAGCAGTGGGGATGCTCAGGCAATTCCAGCGTTGTTCAGACATCTTGTTTGAAACTTGCTGTCATTGCATAGGACAGAAAACAATTCACAGTGTAGTATTTTGTTGCCATCATTGAATGCATTTTTGTAATGGCAGACCGTTACCAGGAGCTCTAGAACACACTGCTGCATTGGTTGGACGATGCTCAGAGACACTATGAAGTCCTGGAGCGACAGCCAGTCTGATCTGTACAGCAGTGACCAAGAAGAAGAAGAACAGATGATTTTTGGAGAAAATGAAGATGATTTGGAAGAGATGATGGATTTAAGCGACTTGCCTACCTCACTGTTTGCTTGCAGCGTGCATGAAGCGGTGTTTGAGGTACAGGAGGAAAAGGTAGGGTGAAGTGAGGTGTATCTGTATTTGGCCCTGCATGTGGAAGGGGGGTTGGAGATTCATGATCCTTGAGGTCCCTTCCAACCCTGGCAATTCTGTTATTCTGTGATTCTGTGATCTGGGTTTGGCATTGCAAGTACAGAGGCAGCAGGGGATGTTTTGTCTGGTACTGCTGTGTGTTGTCTGAGGGGGAGGAAATGAGCCACCCAAGTTATTTACCAGTGAGCTCAGATCAAGAATGAGTAGATTGCCCAAGAGGAGATAGTAATGCAACGTTCAGGCATTTCAAATTGCTAATAGTGGTGACAGGGCTCCTCCTACAAAAAGACTCTTCTGATTTTTCTCTTCATGCAAAGTACTAAATTTAAAGAAAGATTTATGTATAATCCGAAGGCAAATGTCTGTGTTTTACTTCAAGGCAAGGATTCTGTTAAAGATTATAGTAAATTCTCAGAATGCACGTTCTGCTTTGAACTAAAATAACTTCTTGATAGTTGCTTAGGACTTTATAATAAACTAAATCTTCCCTGGGCTGCTAATCTTTGTATTCAGTCAGATTTGTGCGTGCTCTTTGCATCTGAGAGCATCAGGAATGACTATTGGTAGCTCATGAGTGTTTGAGGAAAAAACTGAAGAGAGCAAGGTGGCACCTCCCTTCCTGCATACACCTGTAAATCTCAGATGACTAAATTGTTCCTGTTTTTGCATTCTCCGAAGCCTCTTGAGAGTGGCTCACCCTCCAGTTGGATCAGTGGTTGTTACCACTTCTGGAAGAGGGCAATGAAAGCAGCAGTTGATCTACGAAACATTAAGTCTTGCACCAGACTAATTCAGCTCTGCTACAGAGACAGCAGCGCCCCGTAACTCATTATCTGATATAGAAAGTGTGCGCTGGGAATGCTGCCTGGCTAAATTACATTGTGTGTCTGCCAGGGATTTGTCACTTTTAGGCACATTTCCTTTTTCTGTGAGGGTATTCCCACAGTCTGAGCATATCAGGTGTGTTGAGGGCAATGTGTTCTTCTCTAACGATACCGGAGTAATTGGATGCGCGATGAAGCCATTGGTGGATGTAACCTCCTCTGGTTAATTTCAAATGTTATTTGGGAAATAGTGATTATGCTAGATTGTAGTTCTGTGTTTGTTCATTACCAAATTTGGTCAGAGTGCAGAAGGAATGGATTTTCTGATTTAATAAAGACCTTGAGATGGTGCAGCTTGCAGAAAAAAATTGCAAACTAATAATTCTAAAACTAACATAGGCATCATCTATAGCGTTTCTTTTGTCCTGATTGAAACGGAAGTCAGTAGCAACCCCATACTATAAGTATTATTACAGGAGTCAACAGGATTTGTGTAAAGAGATTGGAGTCTTTTGAAACTAAACAAATAAGTTTTGCCTTTAGAAAGAGTTCTTAAAAGTTGTTCTTCTCTGCTCCTTTGCTTATGTAGATCCCTGTGAGTAATGGAATATTATCAAAGCAGAGTAAATAAAATTGAAAATATGTCATTTGCATTCTTTTGCTGATCTGAGTTTGATTTTTTACAGTGAGTGAGAATATTTGCATTTAAACTGGGGGAAAAAAATCTGCAAATTAGGTTTTTAATAAAAAGGAACTAGTAAATTAAAGCAAGTTGAATCTTTAACAATGCAGTTATGTTCAATCTCCTCAATGATTAATAAGATTTCTAATTCAATAATATTTGTGTTTTTTATTTTTGCTTTTTGCCAAAAACAGTGTTTGGTAATAAGTCTTTCTCTCCTAGAGCAATCTCATTAATCCTGTGTTTTTTGTTTTTTTAGTTTCCTTAATCACTCTATGCTTTATTTTATCAGGCCTAAAAATGAACTGATTTGCATCACGTTTTCGGAGATGCTCAGGTGAAAGTCAGGTGCAAGTGTGCAGTTATTTTTGTTGACCTCTGTGCTTTTGGTTTAACTGTCACTAGATGGCAGTTCGTGGGAGCTACATGGGCTTTTACACATCAGTGTACTCCTGGAATTTTAGTAGTGAGATAGAGCAGTCAGGGAGAACTATGAAACATGCAGGTTTAGAAGGGTGTTAAGGAAACGCATGGGGATTTGGGTGAGGAAAGTGAACGCAGAATGTGTTTTCCTTGAGTGAAAATGTTCATGTTGTGTTTGAAGAATCTCTGTACTTCATCTCTAGGAAAGATTTGAAGCACTTTTCACTGTCTATGATAATCAAGTTACATTCCAGTTGTTTAAAAGCTTTAGAAGAGTAAGGATAAACTTCAGTAATCCAGAGGCAGCAGCAAGAGCACGGATTGAACTGCATGAAACTGACTTCAATGGAAAAAAACTGAAGCTATATTTTGCACAGGTATTATGGAATGCTGATTTGGTTTGCATGTGTGCCTGTTTCTCCCTTGCTTCGTATTTGACAGTAAGTTTCATTTCTGAGAAGTTCTGAAGCAACCATTAACGTCTTGCTCTTATACACGAGCATGTATTATCTATTCATTGACAGCTACACTGCCAAAACAGACCAGTTTCTTAACCTGCATTGCTTATCTGAAATGTTGTGCTATTATTTTTGAATCTAGATTGGATTAAGCATTGTTAATACAGAGAACAGCCATATCCGGGGATATGGATCCGGGGAACTACAGGCCTGTTAGCCTGACCTCAGTGCCGGGGAAGATTATGGAGCAGATTGTCTTGAGGGAGATCACGCGGCATGTGTGGGACAACTGGGGGATCAGGCCTAGCCAGCATGGGTTCACGAAGGGCAGGTCCTGCTTGACCAACCTGATCTCCTTCTATGACCTAGTGACCCGTCTGGTGGATGAGGGAAAGGCTGTTGATGTAGTCTACCTAGACTTCAGTAGAGCCTTTGACACTGTCTCCCACAGCATTCTCCTGCAGAAGCTGGCAGTCCATGGCTTGGACAGGTACACTCTTGGCTGGGTAAGGAACTGGCTGGAGGGCCGGGTCCAGAGAGTGGTGGTGAATGGAGTTAAATCCAGCTGGCGACTGGTTATGAGTGGAGTTCCCCAGGGGTCAGTGCTGGGGCCTGTCCTGTTTAATATCTTTATTGATGACCTGGATGAAGGCATTGAGTGCACCCTCAGTAAGTTTGCAGATGACACCAAGCTTGCTGGAAGTGTCGATCTGCCTGAGGGTAGCGAGGCCCTACAGAGGGATCTGGATAGGCTGGACAGCTGGGCTGAAGCCAATGGGATGAGATTCAGTAATACCAAATGCCGAGTCCTGCACTTTGACCACAGTAACCCCAGGCAGTGCTACAGGCTTGGGGCAGAGTGGCTGGAAGACTGTGTAGAGGAAATGGAGCTGGGGGTGTTGATTGATGCTAGACTGAACATGAGCCAGCAGTGTGCCCAGGTGGCCAAGAAGGCCAATGGCATCCTGGCTTGTATCAGAAATAGTGTGACCACCAGGAACAGGGAAGTAATTGTCCCCCTGTACTCAGCACTGGTGAGGCCGCACCTCGAGTACTGTGTCCAGTTCTGGGACCCTTGCTATAAGAAAGACATCGAGGCCCTGGAGCGTGTTCAGGGAAGGGCAACTAAGCTGGTGAGGGGTCTGGAGCACAGGTCTTACGAGGAGCGGCTGAGGGAGCTGGGATTGTTCCGTCTAGAGAAGAGGAGGCTCAGGGGAGACCTCATTGCTCTCTATAACTACCAGAAGGGAGGTTGTAGTGAGCTGGGGGTCAGCCTCTTCTCCCATATGACTAGTGATAGGACTAGAGGGAATGGCTTCAAGCTGCGCCAGGGAAGGTTCAGACTGGACGTTAGGAAATACTACTTCTCTGAAAGGGTGGTCGGGCGCTGGAATGGGCTGCGCAGGGAGGTGGTGGAGTCACCGATCCTCGAGGTGTTCAAGGAACATTTGAATGTTGTGTTGAGGAACATGGTTTACTGAGAACCATTGGTGATGGGTGAATGGTTGGACTGGATGATCCTGTGGGTCTTTTCCAACGGTAGTGATTCTATAATTCTATATTACTGGGGAAACAGACTAAATAAACATAGATGTTTGTGATTTTGTTCTGCAACTCCTGGCCTTTGTCTTCAGGTACAGGTGTCCAGTGAAGTAGGAGACAAGTCCTACCTTCTTCCTCCACAACCTGTTAAACAGTTCCTGATATCACCACCTGCATCTCCCCCAGTTGGATGGAAACAGACTGAAGATGCAACTCCACTGATAAACTATGACCTCCTTTGTGCTGTCTCCAAGTTGGGACCAGGTGGGATATTTACCTGCTTTTGTTGTGTTATTTAACTTCAGAAGTACTTATCCAGGGCATTTATCTACTTTTCTGTGAAAAGAACCAAGTCTCTCTCACATGAGGGTACTTACTTGAATAAAGTAAGCTATCACTGTTTATTTTGTTCTGCAACCGACTGAAATTATAACACAGAACTGGACTGTGTGGCACTGGTTCTGTGTCATCCATTTATTGAATTTTGCTATAATCTTACTATTGACTGACAAACAAGAAGAGGAATGAGATGTACAATCTCTTGCAAGTTGGTGGCTTCAGTTGTTAAGGATGCTAATATGGATTTTATGTTGCATCATCAAAATTTTTCATGGGTCTTACTCAGAACAGTGCTGTTTAGTTTCCCTGAAAGGAAGGTTTATCTTTCACACAAAGAACCTAATGTGTAATCTGTTGAATTGGCTTCAGTGCTTGTGAGGAGGGAGCTGTTTGCAGTCCTAACAGGTGAGAGAAATGTTCTGACAAGTAGTGGTGTAGAGAAGGGAGCTACTTTCTTGTCCTCTCAGAAAGCCACTGCTGGGCACAGTAGCAACATAACTTCACAGGGAATTAGGAGGATTAAATATTATCAAATGCATTTATGGTTTTCCATTTAGAAATGTCCTATGAATGCGTAGCACAAATATATCACTTAAAAATTTTTATGCTGCTTGTCTTTTGATTGTGTTGGTGCAGCTATTAAGGAGTTTTTGCGATTAAGTAGCTTAATGCTGTTCCCTGGGACGTTCTTAGCATGGTCTTTGTTTGCTGCTCCTCAGGGGAGAAGTATGAGCTTCATGCAGGGACAGAATCAACTCCTAGTGTCGTCGTCCATGTCTGTGAAAGTGAGACAGAAGAGGAAGAAGAATTAAAAAATCCTAAACAGAGGATCATGCAGACAAGGCGTCCGGAGCCACCTGCAACAATACTGAATGAATCTAAAGCATTTGATTGTACATTGGAGGTAGGGGGTACTATGCACTGTTAAACTGTGTGTTACTCAGGATGTCATCAAAAACCAGACACGTAATGAGTACACACGTTGATGCCTGTTGTCCTGCTATATATTATACATAGCAACAACAGATTTTACTTGTAGTTGTCTCTCATGTTCGAGATTTTTGGATGCCAATGCTCTGCAAAGCACTTTAATTCTAAGGACTAGTCTCCCAAGTGTAGCAAATCCACCTGACTTGCAATAGTGAAAAATAGGAAGTTTAGTTTTATTGAAATATTACTCTTGATACTGTAAAGTGTGGTGTACCGAGTGCTAAAATAATATTTTTCTGTCACTACTGGATTTGAAGAAGTTATTTGTATAGCAGTTATAAACTGATCCATGCTTGTGCAGCAGCTTCCAGTTATTTAAGTGGAAGTGAGGCATAGGTCTTCATGCTAAAATTCCTTCCCAGTTATCAGTCTTCTGAGCTGAAGGTTAGTACTTGCTTTTCTCAGATATGCTTTTAATTTGACATGAGGCTCAAATACATATATGGAACTAAATTCCAATAGTTCTGCTCACTACACAAAAGAGTACAGGAGGAAGAACCACAGACCACTACAAGACAGACCCTGAATCTGTCTCCAGCACTGCTGCTGCTCCTGTTTGATGGTACACTGATGGCTGCAACAGTTTGCACTGACATCTGCTTAAGAGTGAGTTACAATATGCGGAGTGAAATAGGGATTCAGCTACTGAATGTGTTCTCTTATCCTCTCTGGAAATGTGGTAATGTTTGTCCCTCTTCCATCCTAGAGATGGCCTCAATTTATAAATAAATCAAAGTGACCGTATGACTGAATGATATGAGGAGATAAAACACCTAGGGTAGATTTCTGACCTGTGGTCCTAAACCTGATCTGTCATTTTTATTTTTTTGAAGACAGTCAGTTGCCTGGCTTAGCCAGCTGTTATGCAGTTTGAGCCCTTCTCTGCTGTTTTTCATTGTGACTTTTTCCTGTGCAGCATCCTCTGTCTGATAGAGTACCTGCTGCTTTAGAGACAAGGATGCATTTTTTAAAATACAGATGTTTAATTCTGTAAACTCGTGTTAAGCATTTCAATAGGAGGAAAATATGCCTCATCGTGTGACATATGCTACTACACTTTTATGCTACTTTATAACCAACCTTTTTTAGTCTACACAGATTCTTCTTTTTTCTATTATTAAAAAAAAAAAACAAAACACAGAAAAAGCCAAGCTGCTTATATGCATATATAGAAATCATTCAGAAATTGGACTTTTTCAAATCGTTTTAGTGTATTTTAATTCTATTTGAAGTGCTCATTGAACTTTCCAAAGTGTTTTCACTTGGTTGACAACAGAAGTAGCAGTGATCGTGAATCTGCACAGGCACAGTAGTTTTCAGGTCCATATTGTGCTAGCTGCGATCCCTTCCTGCCACTGGCTTGCAGTTGCAAAGTGGGATCCTGCAGGCAGGTCCTTGTTCCAGAGATTTTGTTCATCTCAGCTGCAAAGGTACTGATATTTATGTATTTCTTCAGATGTTCAAATCACTTCGTCTGACTTCTGTCTTGCTGTTCTGCCACGAGACTTGTGTGTTTTAAAATGCCAGAAGTCAATCTTGGATTCTCTGGTATTTATATTTTGTCAGTTGTTTAATTTCTACCCCACTGTAACAGTTTGTGTAAGTAGGGATTCAGTGAAAACTTTCCAAAACCATTTTGTAAAGGCAAATGGAATGAGTGATTTTGTCAGTGTACGTTGTGTAAAGTGTATCACACCTTGCATTCCAACATCACTCCTTGTGTAAAGAGGCTTAAAATAAAAATGATACAGCACCATTCATGTGGTTTTCTTTAATTAGCCCAAGTTTGCTGTGTGTTCTGACAGTGTTTATGTTGGTGCAACTGAGTGAGCAGTGAAGATTCCCTTGGGATGTTTCCCTCACAGTGGGGGTTTGACACTTAGACAGCAAATATTGTAAGGGAGAGCATTGGATCTGGGTGCAGCATTGTTATTTATGCTTATGCTGTAATAAAAAGTTTTTCAAAAACTACAGAAAGCCATTTCCACAGAAAGGACATTCTAACATTCGTTTGTAGTACAGCATATGTTTGTGCTGTGAGGTTCCGTCCTGCCTCAGTCACAGGTGAGGTCCAGTTCAGAAGGCATTTCTTTAGACAGCAGAAGCAGGCCGAGAGTGCCCTCATAGCACAGATCAGAGCAATAGAACTGACTTAAGTGAAAAATGCTACAAGACCGCATTCCTTTACTGCCTGTGAAGCTGTGTTTCATTGCTGGAGTGGTGTGTAGGGCCACTGTTGTGCCAGACAGTGCCCCCAGGGTGCTGGCACAATCTCTGCCTTGATTTTATGTCAGGCGTGGGGGGTTCACGGGAGCTGTAGGAAATGACAGGTAGATCTTTGCGAGTCCTGACATGGGTGGGTGAAAAGGAGGTGAAGCAAAACCTTCACAGAAGGGAATCTTCTGTAATTCTGTGATCTGTGGATGAACTGAATCATAGAATGGTTTGGTTGGAAGAGACCCTGAGGATCATCAGGTTCCAACCTTCTGCCACAGGCAGGGCCACAGCCTCCAGATCTGGTACTAGATCAGGTTGCACAGGGCTCCATCCAACCTGGTGCAGAAGAGCCACTGATAGTGAAGTCAGTGGTTTCTGACACCACGGAGGAATGTGTGCTTCAGCAGCTGCCTGCCTTTGTTTAAAGCAAGACAGAATTCTTCTGCAGTTATTGACATAATAGAAAGCCAGTTGTGACTACTGGGTTATTTTGCTTTAGGAGAACTTGCATGACATCCATTTGAGTGTATCTATATCCTTCACCTAAAGTTCATGGCTAGAGACGCTGCGTTGGTGTCATGGTATGCACCTCCATGGGAAGGCACATGCTACGCTGTTTTCCAGTTATGTATTTTATCTTTAATTTAGACTTCTAGGTCACGCTTGCAGCATTTTAAGTGTCAACTATCTTGTTGTAGGATTCTGCTGTTTGTGTTGGGGTTAACGTGCCTTCATTTCATGATCTTTAAATTCACACAGTAGAGTTTGTGTGTGCATATTTAAAAACAATGTAACAGATGAAAAAAACCAACAACAACAAACCAAAACAACAGGCAAAAAAACCCAACATGATCACATCAATTTGATCATTTTTTACAGATATTCATAAGCACTTAGCATGGGTTTCCCAGGTTTGGAGAAGTTTTACTTCCAGTTTTGTTTTTCCCTCCCCACTTCTAACTTTTTGCCTGAACCAGTGATTGAACACCTGGTGAAGGAGTGTAGCCAGTCCCGTGAGCACAGGTGGAGGGAGTTCACCTGTGGAACTAGATGGGGTTGAGCCTGACTCCACCCTTCCTTAACCTCATTTAAGAGCTGGTAGCCAGAAGGGAAGCATCTCTACCTGGATACTTGGAAGTCTCGAGGGACAGCACATCCACCACATCTCTGTGCAGTCTGTTCCAGGAGATATTTTTCCTTACATGTAACCTAATTTTTCCCTTATTCAACCACAACAGACCTTGCTACAGAGTCTATCCCCTTCTTTCCTTTTGCTCCCCTTTAGATATTGAAAGGCTGTAACCAGGTCATCTCAGAGCCTTCACTTCTCCAGAATAAACAGCCTCAGCTCACTCAGCGTGTCCTCACAGAAGAGGTGTGTACATTCATCTCTTGTGGCCCTCTGGTTGTGCTCCAACAGGTTCATGTCTCTCTTGCAATGAGGACTCTACATCCGGATGCAGTGGTCCATGCGAGGCCTCACTAGTATAGAGCAGAGGGGCTGGATCACCTTCCTTCACCTGCTGGCCATGCATCTTGTGATGCAGTCCAGGATACCGTTGGCTTTCTGAGCTGCGAAGGCGCATTGCTGGCCCATGTCCAGCTTGCCATCCAACAGTACCCCCCGGTACTGGTACAGGACTATGCTCAATCCTTTTATTCCCAGGCTTGTATTGGTAAAGGGGACTCCCTCGACTCAGGTCTCCCCTCCCCTCCCCTCCCCTCCTCTCCTACCTTCGCGTACTTCCCCTGTCACCAAGAGAGAGCGAAAGGCCGGCGATTGCGTTGCGGGCCTGCGTCACTCCCATCGGAGAAGTTCTATCCGCGGTCCCTACTGCCGCTGCGTGGCCAATGCGCGGAACAGAATGCGTGGTGTTGTGCCGGAAACACCGCATGCGTAGTGCTGTAAAGAGAACAGCGCACGCGTACACTTGTGCCAAGAAAGGCACATGCGTAGTGCTGTGCTGAAGCTCACGCATGCGTATTACTGTGCCGGAACTGGCGCATGCGTAGTGTATTGACAGAACTGGCACATGCGTAGCGTTGTGCGGGAACTGGTTCGTGTGTATTGCTACGCCGGACGTGGCGAATGCATATTGATGAGACGTAATTGGCGCATGCGTACTGCTCTGCCGGAACTGGCAGAAGGGTAGTGCTGTGCCGCAACTGGAGCATGCGTAGTGTTGTGCCGGAAATCGCGCATACATTGTGCTTTGACGTAACTGGCGCGTGCGTACTGTTGCGACGGGTCAGGCACATGCGCAGTACTGTGCCGGCACTGGCGCATGCGTATTGTTGTGCTGGATCGGGCGCATGCGTTTGCCGAAACTGGCGCACGCGTACTGATGTCCCGAATCTCGCGCATGCGTACTGCTCTGCCGGCACTGGCGCATGCGTAATGCTTTGTCGACAGCGCGTTTTGTGATTTGGGTGCGGGCTTTTGGGGGGATTTGGGGCGGTCTGGGGGTTCATGCGGCTTACACCGAGGTACGATGCTATGAGTCATACCGCTCAGGGTTTGAAGTTGGGGCGTTTGAGCGTTTTGTTGTCATAGTTGAGGGGTCTGCCTATGCGGTTTGGGGCGTGGGGTCCTGGTTACAGCCCCACGTCCAGATGGGATGTGACTTAGTCTTCGCATCTGGCCCCAAAACGCCCCCCATCCGTGCCCCATACCTCATACCGGCACTCCTATTCGGGCCCTAAGCACCAGACCCCACACCCATCCTCCTGCCCCACCCCTGTACTGAAACCTGAATTTGAACCCGGGGATAGAATTGGGGTTCAGGACAAGGATGCGGAGCGTGGGTTTGCGGTGTGGAGCCCAGGATCTAGAATGCAGAGTTTGGGGCATGGGGCTCAGATGTTAGGTTATAGGGCAAGGGATCCCTCTGGGCCTTGGATTTGGCGTTTGGAGACAGGTTTAGGGCTGAGATGGGGGGGTTAGGGCCTGGTGCAAGGAGTGGGGCTGAGGTGCAGGGCCAATTGTGGGAATTGGGGCAATCAGGTTCTCAGTTGCCCTACACATTCTCACAGGAGGTGGAGGATACAGCAGCGTTGTGCTGCATGAGCAGGTTCCACATCCTCATGGTGATGGCAGCGTACCGCAGGCAGGGGTTGCAGCAGCAGCAGCAGCAGCACCACTGAGTGTGACCTGTGGCCCCATAGCTACTCCCGGCCCTCCATTGACTCCTACCCCCCTATAGCACCCCATGCCCTATATCGACTTCCACACCTCATAGTGACCTCAGCCCCACTTCAACCCCCATGGCCAACAGCCCCCCCCCAGCTCAGCTTTACAGTGTAGGAGTGTGTGCCCTGAGAAGCTGTGGAGCAGTGCTGTGGGGCTCACCCCACAGATGTCAGGCAACCAGGCCAGGGGGCAGTGTGCAGGGCAGGAGAATATGAAGGCGGTTGGGATGGAGGGTGCTGTGTGGTGGGGGGCAGCACCATCTGCACCTGGAACAGAATTTGGGGGAAAGAAGGGGGGGGAATGGGGACAGTGAGGGGGAACTGTGGGGAGAAGCAGTGGGATCAGAGGGTAAATCAAGTAACAGTTGTGGTCAGTGAAGTTAAAGCCAGTTGGCAGCCAGAAATAAGTGATGTCACCCAGGGGCCACTCCTATTTAATATCTTTATCAGTGATCTTGACGAGGGGATTGCGTGCACCTTCAGTAAGTTCACAGATGACACCAAGCTGGGAGGGAGTGTTGATCTGCTGGAGAGTAGAAAGGCACTACAGAGGGAGCTGGACAGAATTCATTGATGGACTGAGGCTAACTCCATGAGTTTCAATAGGGCCAAGTGTCAGGTCCCGCATTTTGGTCACAGCAACCACAGGCAACCCTACAGGCTTGGGGAGGAGTAACTGGAAAGCTGCCTGATTGAAAGGGACCTTGGTGTACTGAAGGACAGTAGGCTGAATATGAGCCAGCAGTGTGCCCAGGTGGCCAAGAAGGCCAATGACATCCTGTCTTGGATCAGGAATGGTGTGGTGAGCAGCACTAGGGAAGTTACCCCAACAATGTCACTGCCCAGCATCACTCCCAGAGGTCACCCCCCAGTGATACCTCATTGCTATTCAATGTCACTCCCTAACATTACCCTACTGTCGCTCCAACGTCATCACCCCCCAACAATTGTCACTGCCTAATATCACTAGTATCATCCCTACATCATCCGGACAAGTTCCCTCAGCACCACCATCACTCCAGTGTCTCCCCTCAAGCATCACTCCTTGATGTTAAACCCCACTGATATCTCAACACAATTCCCAGCACTGTCACCCCTCAGCACCACTCCCTGATGTCACCGTCAATGATACCCCATCACTCTCCAACATCCCTTCCCAACATCAACTCTGGCATCACCTCTCAACAGCATCACACCCACATCAGCCAACAGTTTCACCCCAATAGTGTCACTCCTTGATGTCACTCCCCAGTATCACCCCAGTATCACCCCCGTGTCACCATAATCCCCGTAAATAGGAAGCAGAACTTCCCCAAACAAGTGCACTATTACTTTCTGACCCTTGAGAGACGGCAAACTGAGAGAAAAGGAACATGCTGTCAGTGGATGCGATAGGCAGTGCCAGCAGGGCATCCCCTCAACTTGGCCTTTCACCCCCACTGCAGCCTCTCTTCTGCTTTGATTCTCCTCAGGATCTGCAGGGTTTGTTCCACTGCACACTGTACTGGCATGGCCATTGCATGGTACGGAGCTCAAGTGGAAGAGAACCCCCGACAGCCTCGCCTCCAACAACCAACCTCATCCTCAGCAACCAACCTTGCCCCCCAACCACCTCACCCCATTGTCACTTCCTGATATTCCCCCCAGTGTCACCCCTACAATATCACACCCCAGCATCACTCCCCAACGTGACCTCAGGGTCCCTACCCCTGATCATCCCAACATCAGCCCCCAGCATCATTCCCTGACGTCCCCCTCAGTGATACCCTTCCATTGCCACAGTGTCACCCCCACATTCTCACCTCCACAATGAGCTGGAAAGCACAGCAGCAACAGCAGAGCAGATAATCCCTGGGTTGCAGCAAATGAAGATCAGCTCCAGCGCAGCATGAATGGGCACAGAAATAAAACTACTCCACATTGAAAGACCTCAGGTTGGCAGGAATCCACAGCAAAAGCCCCATGCTTCCTTTGCCAGCCCTTAAATGAGGGTTGGGAAGGAATGGATTTGGTTCCACCCCTTTCATCACTCAGCAACACTGCATGCACCTTTGCTCCCCTGCAGCAGAAATGGGGTACTGCAGTACATCGGTGATCTGTGATTGCAGGAGCGCAGGCGCTGCATGCAGTACGCACACTGCAGCCTCCCTACTTCTTTGGGGTTTGGGATTGACACTTGAGCCCAAAAGCCACACATTGCCATACAGGCAGGTGCCAGGTTCACCGACTGAGGACACCGAATCCTGAAATACTTTCATGATGGTCTTTAATTGCAAAGAGAACAGATAATGCACATTTCTCACTAGGGAGCCATATGCTGATCCTAGCAGTTTGGCCAACAGCACTCGCTCCATTCACACCGACAATCTCAACCCTTTGCTTCCCAGGCTGCACACACAGCTTCTCTATATCTTGCTGTGTCAGTATTGAAATCTGTGCTCTCCTATCTATTAGAAATGTCACCAACTGTCTCTGAGGACAGATTGGGATCAAAATTCGTGAGCTGTCATAGCTCATCCACTGATAAACCTCCCCTTGCTAGACAGGTGGACCCAATTGCCTGCCAGTCATTATTATTATTTTTTTTTCTTCATGCCTTTATGGGAACTGTGAGGTCACACCTGAAGCAGTGATTGAGCACCTGGTGAGGGGTGTAGCCCTGCGAGCACAGGTGGAAGCAATTCTCCTGTGGGACCGGATAGGACTGAGCCTGGCTCCATCCCTCCCTGATTGCATTTAAGGGCTGGCAGCCACAGGGGTAGCATCTCTTCATGGAGACTGCTTTCTTGGGATCATTGGGTGAGCCTTTGGAGAGGGTGTGTGATCCTTTCTTTATTTCAAGGCTGTGGGCTTCCCTTTTTGTTAGATCCTGACCACATTTAAGGGCTGATAGCTGTAAGGGTAGAATCTGTACCTGGAGGCTGTTTCTTTTGGTGTGTGGCATGTGTTTCCTTCTTTACTGCAGGGCTGTTATCTTCCCTTTTTGGTGTATTCTGACCACTTTTAAGAGTTGGCAGCTGTAAGGGCAGTAACTCTACTTGGTGACTACTTTCTTTAGCACGTGGGGTGAGCCCTTGCAATGGGATGAGTTTCTTCTTTATTTCAGGGCTGTGATATCTACTTCTTGGGGGGATCCTGACCACATTTAAGGGTTGGTATCTCTCCCTGGAGGCTGCCTCTTTGGGTATGTGGGGTGAATATTTCCTTTGTTATTTTGGGGCTGTGAGCTCTATGTTTTTTGGGGGATTCTGACCATATTTATGTATTTATGGGCTGGCAGCTGTAAGGACAGAATCTCTACCTAAAGATTGCTTCCTTCAGAGTGTGGGGTGAGTGTTTGTCTTTGGAATGGGGCAATTGATTTCCTCTTTGTAGGGCTGTGATTTCCCCCTTTTTCAAAGGATCCTGGCTACATGTAAGGGCTGGCAGCTGTAAGGGCAGCATCTCTACCTGGAGACTGCTTCCTTTGGGGTGTGGGGCAAGCACTTGGAATGGGGTGAGCAATTCCTTCTTTATTGCAGGGCTGTGAGCTCCCCCTTTTTTGGGGGATTCTGAACTGGCTTAGAGCAGCTGTATCTGCTGTGTGTGTTCTTACAATGCCCTTCGGTTCTTCTCTAAGGAAGATGAAGGGGTTCTCTCCCTTTCTGAGTTGCTGGTGGAGGGATTGATGTACATTCCTTTCTTTCAATGCTTCCTCGCTTCTGGAATGCTTCAGTCATCCCCAATAACGCTGGCTAGCTGACGGAGCATTGCAGCTCTGGGAATCATGAGAACTTTTCCATAAAGGGATTCTGTAGACTGTGTTTGCAAATCTTTAAGCCTTCTGGTCGAGCCTCTATTCCCTCTTTCATGATTCTCACCCCATAATCTCCAATCTGGGGCTCCAAACATGGTTTGTCTGCTGCCACATCATCCCAGCCCACTTCATGGCTGTAGTTAACAGTGCCATGTATTAATTCCACCCATGCAGAGTTGTTTAAAGGCGTTCTGTGCATAATTAACATGTGTTAAATTATGTTCTGTGTCTCTTCTGATCTTATTTTGCAGGTTGATGGAGTTTAAGGATTGCCAGGGTTCCTCTAATCAGTGGTGTGAGAACTGTGGAGCAGATAATCACGAGCCACATGTTGGTGCATTGCTTGTATGCAGCCATATTTGTGATGACTGTGGGGAAACTCACTTAAGGCTCGAGTAGGGTTAAAAGGGGCTTGCTTCACTCCACGGGTTCTGTGCTCCCATCCCAATGAGCTCCATGGCTGCTGATAGAGCGAGGTGCATCAGCTGGCACCCGAAGAACACTCCCAAACCCCAGTGGCCGTTTGCTTCATCCTCGCTCAGAATAATACAGTCTGCGCTGCTTGAGCATACTGACCACACGTGTTCTGTTCATATTTTATGATTGTCTCTGATATTTTCCTTACAGATTTGTCAGCGATAATGGATTCCAGGGCATCGTTGTCAGGGCATATTGTGGCCAACCACCCCAGGGTCCTACAGCTCTTTCTATTTTAATGGCAGATCTGGCTTTGTGATAATAAAAAAGAAAGGATTGTCGTCTTCTGGATGACTACAGTCAGGATCTCCCCAGATATCTCATCCCATTTGCCAGGGGATGCTATTAATTTCCCAAACTCCCACCCCTCTTCCTTCCATCCCCTGACCCACATTAAGTAGCTCTGCAGCTCCGGGACCCAACAGTGTGACAAAATGTGGCCCCTGATCTGCTGAATGCTGGGTCTGGTGTGGAGAGGCTCTGTGACTGATGTGGATCATCCCAACTGGAGTACTTGGTGCCATTTACGATGATCTGGTCTGATTCCTCCACAATGAACAATGACATCCACAGGTTGATCAGGTTGCTCAGAGCCTCACCCAGCCTCGTC